GCGGAGGAAGCTCGCTTCGCAGCGGTACAGCTATGGGGATCATCTTGTGACTGAGGCTGGCAGGCCAAAGCCAAGAAGAGCTAACCACACTTGTCCTGGTAGAAAGTACACTAAGATGAAGGAGTTAGTGAAGAAGGTAACGAATTCTGTAGATGTTGGGATAAAACATGATGTTTCCCAGTTAACCTTAGAGCTCCATCTAGCTCCATCTAGCATTCCTTAATGCTCTGTAGAAAGTGTACTTTCCCCACTCATACAGCATAGCTGCACAAAATACAAAACCAGGAAAAGCCAAGTCTTCTTTTTTCAGGAAGACTTGTCTTGGGAAAGTGACTCTGTCAGGGGAATGTGTTGCCAATATTTGGGGGTTTTTCTGTCAAGTGTTATGTTGACCCTTTGTGCATTGACCAAAGAACAGACCAATGCTGGCAGGAGCCATGTTCCATGTATATGACAGGGAATTTGTGTGGGAATTGACTTTAACTCTTGAAGTAATTTTAACTCTTTTTCTACAAAAGTTGGAAGCCATGATTTCTTTTGTTTTTTTTTTTTTTAGTCTATCTTTCTTCTTAGGGTTTATCTCTCTTCTAGTGTTTCTTGTTACACCTTAAACTCATGTCCCATGGGCCATGGTGTATGACTCTTGTATGGATTATAAGGAGTGAAAATTTAAATTTTGCCTCTTTATGCATTTGCTTAGCAATTGTGTGTCCATAATGGCATAAGAGTGGAAAATATATTGCCCTGTATCTTTCGAGATTGTGGGTAATCTGTTTATGCGTGAGATTAGCATTTTCCTGAATCATTTTCACTGTGTTAAGTGAAAGCCAGTTTGTGTGATATGAAGCTAAAGGTTAACTATTAAGGACAAATATTAATCCAGGGTCTTAAATGGACTAGAAATATTTATCAAGAGGAGCCTGAAATGTGTTTGCTAATAGCATAAGCAGCAGTGATGGAGTTGTTTGTTATAGGTCTGAAAGGAGTTTAATGTAAATCTTTCTGATTTATATCTTTACCACATGCCAGTTCACTGAGAGAATGGTGAGGAAGAAGGAGGTGAAATGTGAACTAAGTATAAAGATCTTTGGAAATGAACTTAGCTTCTTGGATTGTGCAGATTTAAGAAAGCAGCTGAAACATTATTCTTTAAATCTGGCTGAGCTGGCTGTCAAACTTCTGAAGGTAAAAGGAACCTTTCTGCTCCTTGAGAAACTACTTTTTGGCAGATATGTAGAAGATGCAGAGTATTTTTTCTCTAAACATAACTTTAAAAGTCTGGTGTATGTTGGATTTAAATAACATTGGGTAAATTGTGCTTTGAATAACATTACAGTTTATGAGTCAAGGACTTGGTCTATTGTCTGATGGTTCTTATCTCTTGTTGTTCAAAAGTCTGCATGCGTAAGTCCAAAATAATTCCTTTTATTAACCAGGAAGGGACCGGTGTCTAAGCTCATGCCCTGGTCAGACACAGTCTTTGGGCTACTTTCTTGCTTTTTTCCACAATCAGCTCAGTTAAAAATACATTGAGGGAACAGAAATGCAATACATAGTTTTGGGAAAAAAATCTTGCATGCAAAAGCATGAAAAAGTATATTTTATGCATTTTGTTTGTTTGCTATTTTTACCACAGGGACAAGAAGTTCAGTTTAATAAAAGACTGAGTTTGGCCACTGAAGAACTGCAATTTTCAGCAATTTCTGGTTTTCCTGTTCAACTGGCTGTCAATGTCTCAGCAGCAACCAACGTAAAAGTCAAAGGGAATGTGGATTTTAAACAACGATCAAATTTCTTTGTAAATGGATATATCAAGCCAAGGTAATAGCAGCTGGAAATGTGTCACTTCCACGTATTCCTGTCATTAAGCAGCAGTTCCTGATATGCAATTTCTGTGGTGATATCAATTATAATTGGTTAGGAAATTTCTGAAGAAGTCAGCAGTTTCCAGGCGTATATTGCTGAATGGTTGCTGTGCTGCAAGGAAAGCAGCAGTTGCCTGTCCTGCCTGTCTGATTTTAAACTCTCCCTTGCTGTGATTTCCAGTCCTGCTTTAAGCTGACCGTTCTCCCCAGTCCCTAGGTCCCCAGGTCATTCTCCCCAGTCCCTAGGTCAGCTTCCTGCATGTTTGCATACAGGCCATCTTTCAAATTGCTTCACCTGCAACAGGGACTTTAGCACCAGACGTGCAGTTATGAACTCACAAACCAGCTGATGGTTTAACCTTACGTTTCCTTACTTACTTACTATAGTAGCTTTTACACATACCGAATTGTTTAGGAACCTTTGCTCAGTGCAATATAACTAAAAATGAACTTATGCTAAGTCACTCAGTTCCCTAATTTTCTCTGCTTAAGCTTGGGTTCAAATCCATTACTCAGAGCATCTCTCATAACACTTGCTTTTGCAGCAATCAATTTTAAAAACTGCATATATATCCATAGAATGTTTTCAATTAGTGTTTGAAACAAAATATTCATAATGATTTTGATGTTAGTGTTTTATTTTGTAAAGCATCAAGTGTTACGCGTTTATTTGAGAGGGTAAGGAGCCTGTAATTTAAATCAAGTGCTTAGAAAGAAAGTGCTTTTATAGAAGAGTGTGCCTCTGCATCTTTCAACAGTGCATTTATCCAGATTTCTGCCCAAATGGGTACTGTGGGGACTCTGGGAAAAGCTGGGCTACGTTGGGAAACAGGAGCAAGGACGACTACTAGCCTTGATGGGGGAATCCAGGTTAAAAAGGGGAAAGAGCTCAAAGTGTTTTTGAACACTCCAGAAGAATCTATGGAGATAATTAATTTCAGGTAAGATGAAACAAGGACATCTTCCTGCAAATAGTAACCATGAGAAGCTTCAATCACAGCTTCACTGGCAGGTTTATTAATAGTGCTGAAATATTTTATCAGGAAACAAACTCTTTCAGTCTGACTCATAGTCCAAATCTGCAATTCTGAAGAAAGGAAGTGGAAATTATTCTGTGCATTTTACATTGTTTTACCATAAATGAATCCTTCCAGTGAAGCCAAATGGTCAAATCAAAACCTGACAATTAAAGACATAAATTAATTTATCATACTCTCCTCTTGTACCTTACTGAATGTCAGGGTTATTTGTGAAAGTTTAGTGTCCACTTTAGAATATTAAAATGATGGGGTGAAAACTTGGCATTGCTTCCACAGGTGGTATTTAGCAAAAAGAAATACAGAATGGCATTTAGCAAAACACTGCAGTAATCTGGACTGCGATTTAGTGTTGCACTCATACCCTCCTAGTGCATTTTTATTTAGATTCTCCAATGTTAGTGAAAGCTTTTAGCACCTCAGCAACTGCCAGATGTTAGCAGATGAGTTGCTTGTGTTGATACAAGCTGGACTTTTTAGCTTTCTGCCAGCTCTCTCTGCTCTTTGCATTCCTAAATTTGATAGATGACACACTGTAACGAACCACGTGCCTCTCAAGACGTGACAGTG